TAGGAGCTCTTGTACTAAAAAGTGCCCTTCTGATCGCTCGATTTGTAGTTTTGTGGGTTTTTTCCAGTGGTCCTCTCCCTTACCCTGGGCATACACGGTCGCAGCCAGTGTTTCAGAAGAAATAACCACAAACACCCCCCATTCTAAACAGTAGAAGAACACAGACACCGGGTCCAAACCAGGGAAGAAGGAAGGTGGAGGTGCTTCTTCCTCTGATTTTTCCTGCCTTTGTGTGTGAGCTAATGTTTTCCTCTTACTACATTTGCTATTGTTTCTCCAGTTCGTATTTGCAGGTCTTTGCCTGTGGTATGTCCAGCAGAGGATCTTCTGTTGTCCTGTTAGCCGAGGTATGCCTGGGCTTGTGTCTTAGGTTGTCACTGTTCCGTTACCCTGCCTGGGCTGCTTCCTCCATAATAATGGTGTCCACCAGTTAAATGTACTGTCTTGTAAGAGATGAGGGGGGAAACAATAAAGAAACTTTAGAATATTTTTCATTCATTGACAATTTCATGTATACAAATTATTTAGATTATATCCAACCCCAGATCGTCCTCCCTTCTCTAACATTTCATTTGTATTTGTGTATATGTAGCCTGTTGAGTCCAGTTAGTGCTGCCCACATGTGCATGGGTCAGGGAAAGTGAAAACTCGCTATGATGGCTATGTTACCCCAAGTCAGTGTGAATGTGAGTGGACTCTTCAGGACAGGCTGTTTCCAAAACGTTATATTTAACATCCTGTTATACAAAGGTCATAGTCGTATGTATGTATGTTTATATATGTATGTGTATGTATTTAATTTTTGATGTGTATATACACCTTGAAGATTTTCAATGCACAAGAATAAAATTATAAGGGCATAGTACTAAATTGTTATCAGGTTTAAATAACAATTGAGATCACCTCCCCCCCCCCATATAAGTCTGAAATCAGAAAGGAAAAAAAGTAAAACTTCACAGAAGGAGACTTCAAAAGTCTAGAAAACCCAGGGTACACGTTCGAAACTTGAAAATGTGAAAGTCCACATTACTCGATGATGTATCAGACATCAGTGGAAACAGGAACTTGGACATGAAAGCCAGATCCTGCGTCTTGGAGATCGGGGAGCATTAGTTTGCAGTGAGTTTCTGTGTCATCAGCTCAAAAGCTGTTTGCATTTCTTACGGACTTGGTAGAAGAGACTGGCTCATTCTCCCCCAGTCCATCCTGTATTAGTTACTGCCCAAAGTGCTTTCAGTGCGCATGTGTACAAACCCTTCTTCAGTTATTAATTTCATATTTGTGTATATTACTGTGTGGTGGTTGTTGCACTGTTTTTTTGTTTTTTTTTATTTTTTTATATGTTTGATTTTTTTTTATTGAGAAAAGGAGAAGAAAAAAAAAAAAACAAGTTTCCACCTCCTCCCAGCCTCCCATTTCCCTCCCCCTCCTCCCACCCTTCTCTCCCTCCTCCCACTCCTCTCCTCCTCCCTCTCCAGTCCAAAGAGCAATCAGGGTTCCCTGCCCTGTGGTAAGTCCTAGGTCCTCCCCCCTCCATCCAGGTCTAGGAAGGTGAGTATCCAAACCGGCTGGGCTCCCACAAAGCCAGTACACGCAGTAGGGTCAAAACTCAGTGTCATTGTCCTTGGCTTCTCATCAGCCCTCATTGTTCGCCATGTTCAGAGAGTCCAGTTTTAACCCATGCTTTTTCAGTCACAGTCCAGCTGGCCTTGGTGAGCTCCCAATAGATCAGCTCCACTGTCTCGGTGGGTGCACCCCTTGTGGTCCCGACTTCTTTGCTCATGTTCTCCCTCCTTCTGCTCCTCATTGGGACCTTGGGAGCTCAGTCCAGTGCTCCAGTGTGGGTCTCTGTCTCTATCTCCATCCATCACCAGATGAAGGTTCTATGATGATATGCAAAATATTCATTAGTATTGCTCTAGGATAGCGTCATTTCAGGTTCCCTATCCTCAGCTGCCCAAGGAACTAACTGGGGACCTCAGCTTGGGCACCTGGGAGCCCCTCTAGGGTCAAGTCTCTTGCCCACCCTAAAGTGGCTCCCTTAACTAAGAATTGTGGTTCCAGGAGGATTGGGATAAAGGAAGGTTGCACTGTTTTTTTAAAAGTGCTTTTTGAACTGTTCTGTGGTCTGTGGAAAGGGAGTTAGAAAACAGCATGTCAATGACTTTTGTACCGAATTGTCATGTTCAATTGTTAATTTAATTGTGTAACCAGACCGCATATTGTGTGTATTGCTGTATTGGAGTGTACCCTGTGTGTCCACTGCTGTTATGAGGCCCTCTCTGTGTCTCCCAGTGTCTGGTACAGAGCCTTTATTTGGAATATATCGTGTCAATAAACTCTTCTTTCTATTTTGTGTCAATAAATTACTTGAGCTTAAACATTGGTTCATTTCCTGACTCACAGTTCTGAAGAAAACAGAACGCATTGCTAGGAGACTCTCATCTGTGGATTCCCCTCCATCTTGTCACAGAGCCTTCATGTCCATTAGTGTCAGAACAGGGTGTGTGAGATGAACCTTCCAAGCAGGAAGTGCAGGGATACTGTAGTGTCTTAGGGTCTTTCCTGGAACTGTCTAAGAGGTGGCAGGGAGACCCAGCAGGTGACAGAGGGAGGGAGGGAGAGGAGGGCAAGTCAAACGTTGCTGCCTCGAGTGGCCATGCACAGGACAACCTGCTGCTCTGACTCCCGGCCTGGCAGTGGGTTGCGTTTCCTCACTGTCCCTGCCGGCAGTGTTTCCACATTTAACGTGAGCCATCAGGCCTTGGCATCACTATGCCATGAACACAAACTCTGACCCAATTCCAGCCCAGCCGCTCCACTGTTACCAGCGGTCAGCTGGGATCTGTTCCCCTGTAGAGGTACTGTAAGAACTTAGGGTCTCTAGGCATGGTGCATAGAGCAGCGCTCGGGAAAAGCCGAGTTGTTGGGTCCTGTGTGAACGGCAGCAGACGTCTTGGGAAACACGGTCATTGTGTATTTGACCCAAGACTTGCCTTCTGAGGAAATTTCCTCGTCAGTGTAACTTTGGCCACGAGTTTTTATTTGTGTATTTGTGGCATTACGTGTTTTTTAGTGGCCTTGAACTCAAGACCTTTGTCCCTCTGTCTCTCCAGTCCTAAGGACACAAATTCTTTAAAAAATCATATTTCTTAGCCAGGTTGTGGTGGCGCATACCTTTAGTCCCAGCATTCAGGAGGCGGAGGCAGGAGGATCTCTGAGAGTTCAAGACCAGCCTTGTCTACAGAGTGAGTTCCAGGACAGCTAGAAACCCTTCTCGAAAAACAAAACAGAAAATAAAACAATATTATTTCTTCATTGTGCGTATAGATACAAAGTGCAGGGCAGAGGTCAAAGGAAGGTCAACATGTAGGAGTCAGTTCTCTTTCTCAGTCATGTGGACTCCAGGGCTGGAACTTAGGATGTTAAGTTTGACACCAAGAGCTTTTGTCTCTAGAGCCATATCATTGGCTCCTAAAGCAAGTTACTCAGTAGGATGTGTTGTGACATCCATCACACAAGCAATTTTACAATGAGTCGACACCTTGGATTACAGTCACCAAACCGTACAAAGACGTGTTTATTGACATGAGTGATTATGGCCTCGCTGATTGAAAATGGACGTGATCAGTTAACGTTCAATTGACCAGTGTATCAGTGAACACAGCAGTCTCAGGTGTGTGTTCATTTCTGTGAAAAGGAACTGATGCTGAGTGAGCTTCATGTGGTTTTCACATGATTATATTACTATTGAAGGTTCACTTGAGTATGTCAGGATGAAAATCCCTCACAATCACTATGCTCCCCCTTTTTTTTTAATTTTCTTTGTCTTTGAGTCAGGGTCCCACTGTGTAGTCTTGGCTGACCTTGCGGCCCCTACTAGCCCAGGCCTACCCCTGCCTCCTAAAGGGCTGGGATTAAAGGCATGAGCCACCTTACCTATCTTCTCAGTCGCTCTTAGCTCCTTTTGTGTTTTTGGAACCTGATTGGGAAGAAAATTGCGTCTTTTCTAAAAAAACATCATTTGATACGGAAGTGAATTTTTAAGAGTGTCCTCGCAAGAGCAGTAATAGTGCCCTTCCCATGAGCCATTCTCACCTGCCTTCCGCTGCTCCGTGAACCCTTGGCTTCCCCTGTCTCCCACTCTCATGGGATGTTAGTATGGAGCAGCAGGTTCGGCTCATTCCCCCTCATCCTAACCACTTCTGGAAAAGCTCTTGTGGTTTTTTATTTTTAGTTTGTGAAGTCATTATTTGTATTCCTCTCCCCAGTCTCCATGCCCTATTGCAGGCATTAGGAGTAAAAATCCCATGGTTAAGACCATGAGGTCACTGCACAAATACTCAACAGCTGTGTGTTTTAGGCAGGTCACCTGACCCCTCAGCTGGAAAGCCGATGTTTCTTGAGCTCTCCAACATCTTAGGCACAGGAGATACAGCACTGAACAAAGCCGGCACTTCTTCTCGGAGGTTGTCTGCACTGAGCTGGTTGGTACAGACCGGGTTGTGCCGAGCACTTTAGAAGGAACACAGAGGGAAGCACAGGATGACAGAGCGGTAAGAGCTGTCATGGAACACGATTCTTGTCCAAACCTCAGTCTGCGGCGGCAGGGAGCTATGACCAGCCAGAAGAGTTCTGCAGGAGGCAGAGGTGTGCAGCTGTAGGCCTGACTTTTCAATTGCTTTTCTACCCAGCTCCACGTTCATTGAAGCAACCTGGTAAGTCAAAGTCAGCTCTAAGAGGATATTTATACGTCGAGGGCCATGTGCTCACCCCCCAACAAAAACTATTACCATCAGGGCTGGAGAGATGGCTCAGCGGTTAAGAGCACTGCCTGCTCTTCCAAAGGTCCTGAGTTCAATTCCCAGCAAATGGTGGCTCACAACCATCTGTAATGAGGTCTGGTGCCCTCTTCTGGCCTTTAAACATACACACAGACAGAATATTGTATGCATAATAAATAAATATTAAAAAAAAAAACTATTACCATCACCGTGGTAGCATAAGGAAGCAATGTCTTCAGCAGCCCCGAGGTGGGCAGGTTTGGTGTGTCAGGAACATCAGAGCATCCAGGACAGACAGAACATAGAGAAGTCAACAGAGGTGAAGTCAGAGGACTGAGGTGCATGGGATGTAGTAAGTACACTGAGTTTTATTTTAAACAAACCTTTAGGTTCTGAGGAGAGATTCAAGGCTGACAGACTTTGAAAAGGACCACAACTGGGGAGGAAGCAGAGACACAATATTCTGTAAGATGATGTCGTGTATGGGCACAGGTAAAGAACAGCTTCGTTCACCATCATCTGGCAAGATTGAATGGGTTAACTGCTATAATGGAATGTAGTGTAATAAAACGTGCTGGAAGGCAGTATTTGCTGCGTTGGTCAAGCTAGGGTCTTTCCTTGGGAACGTTTTCTGCCTCTCCTGTTATTCGTACACACCCCTGTATAGTCTTCTAAGGAGCGAGCACTTCTCAGGAGTGTCTGCCATGCCGGAGAAGGAGTGTTCATTGAAGTTGCACTTCAAAAGAAAGATGTAAGTGAAGCTAACTGATGTGGCCACCTTCTGTGACCAGGAAGTCTCCCATCATCTGGTTACATGTCAGAAGCAGTAGTTTAACCCGTGTCACAGCGGGATACAACGTGAGCACCACACAGGAGCAGCGGCCAGCTCTTCAATGATGTCATGCAGATGCTGGGCAAATGCAGGCCATCACTATCCAAGTAAGTCATGGCGTTCGTTCATCACCGTCTTTCATACACCAAATGAAGCCATAGAGACTTGAGGTCGCCAACCTGCCTGACATCCCACAGCCAGCGAGCAGCAGAGCCAACAGGTAAAAGAGTGGGACTCAAGAGTGTCCCATGAGGAGGTGAGTAGGCAGCTAGGAGGAAAGCCACGGAGAGGGTGATGCTTTCCCTGATGCCATTGACATTTTAAAGACTGGCTTTTGTTACTGTTTCTGATACCCAGACTGGCCTCGAGCTTTCTGCATAGTCCAGATGACCTCAAGTGACAGCGGTCATCCTGTCCTGGCCTCCTGAGTCTGGCGTTACAGACGTGAACTATTGCAAATGAGCACCGTTTTTTACGGCACGACAGTTGTCGCATTGTGCTGTATGTGACGTGTTGGCATGTACTGTCGCATGCCATAGGTGAGGAGAATGGGCGGGAAGAGGATCCAAGCACTGATGACTGAGAAGTGTAGGTAGTTCATTTACCCACCAGTTAGCTTCACTGATTAGTGAGCCTTCTAAGAAGTTCCCTCGTGCAGCCAGTTAACTTACTACTTCTAAAATAGTGACAGAAAGAAAGACTTCAATTGAGTATTTCAAGTGAAGCACCGTGGTGGGGCGTTGCTTATTGCACGGAGTCCTTGTAGGCAGAGCTGTGAGAAGGCACTGCGATCCCCTCTTTACAAGTAAGACATAGAAAGCTCAGAGAAGGTGGGTCATTTTTTCCAAGCCAGACAGTAAGGCAGTCTATTATGACTAAGATTGGCTGTCTCACGCTGTTTACCTCCCAAAATTCGCTTAGAAAGATGTTTACTGGGGTTTAAATTATAGAACCAAAGACAATGTCAGTAATTTTGGTGTCCTCAGAACTTAACTTTGTACCAGGCTGGTAGTTCTGGAGGAAGTTTTCCTGGGTGCTCATTTGTCATGTCATGATGGGCAACAGAATAGTCAAAGGCACCAAGATCACTTTACTATGGGAATGAAAAGGACAGCCATCACATTCTATGGGGATAGCCTGTTCTTTGATAGCAAAAGTAAAGAAATAATTGTTGGTATCCTGTATGTATGGCTCAGGGATTAGAGACCCAGAAGTCCTATATATTATAGCTGAGTGAGGAAGGAAGGCCTTGAAGAGAATAGTTCTTCCCGAGAGATAGCAGACTCCCACACTTAGAAATACCAACAATAACCAACGTTGTTAAAACCTGACGGAGGTAAGACACTCTGTGATAGGAAAGATGCGTACTGGAATTTACTGAGGTCCTTGTGCAAATGCTCCCCAAGAGACCCAATACTCGGGCAAATGGCCGCACAAGTGGCGCAATCTTCTTTTTGGTCTTCTTTGGTCCTTCTGTATATTTTTGTGGCTCCCAGATCGTTCCTTGTTCATCAGCGACTGTTGGTCAATGGCTTCCTGATGCTAGCGTTGCTCTAATACTCCAGTGTCACTGTTTTGGTTTTGAGGTATTCATTCAGGGCTTCCTCACCTGGGGGAAGAGAAGATTAGGCAGTAGAACACACACAAGGATGGGTAAGAACTTGTGGCCTAGACCTGTGCTCCTCAGGTTCACACGAGATGTTCGAGAGCCTTGAAGTAAGTTAGGGCAAGACCCTGACCTTAGGCATGGCTAACAGTCCTCACAGTGTGGATGCTAGCAGATCATAGACTGTTATGAGTAGTGAGGGCTAGAGTAGCCTACCAGGCCCTTCAGGGATTGGCGCGTTGGTTGGTGAGCTTCAGCCCTAACCTTCCTCCTGTTCCCTGCTTTATGAACTGTTTCTTCGTTTTGCGGTCCTGTGACCAGGGTGCTGTTTGTTCAGGTGCATTAAATAAAGCAGAGTTGAGTACAGGGACGGAAGCTTGGGGGCAGTCACTGAGAGGGGAATGGAAGTGCAGCTTCCTTTGCTTGTTGGAGAGAGAGCTGCCAAACTTGTTCCCTCATTAGAGCAAACTTGTTCCCAGCCTTCTCCAGAGCAATCAGATCAGATATTTTACAGCCCCTAGGTAAGTATAACCCACAATTGCCGAGATTGAGACTACATTGAGCCAAGGAGCCTTCAGTCGTGTTGGTACCGTGAGGAATTTTGTTTTGTTTTATAGTCAAACAAGCCTTTAGCTGTAGGTTACACTGTCAGAGAACAAACAGAATTGGCTTCTTCTGTGACAAAAACTTTCCAAGAAAACCTGCAACTGTGTCTTAGACCCAAACCACTTTTTATTCCTATAAATACATTGTCAAAAATCTCTAGGAAACAGAATCTAATGCCTTAAATGAGCCAAATTTGCAGGGAAGTTTCAGCAAATCAAGTATTTTTATTTCAGAGTGTTTTGAGATTCACATAGCGTAGGCTGCTTTCAAATTTGCTATTTGGCCAACGATGCTCTTGAACTGGTCCTTTTGTCTCCTGTGCTCCTAAGTGCTGGATTGTCGGCACGAACCACCATACCATGCTCTCCCTTCCTAAGGTGTATTTTTACACTTGATATTTTTAAGCCATGGAGGACTACAGAGTAGGAGGTGAGATCTGCAGGCAGACTGGCTGACTTTTACTTCTCTGTCTTGGCCTGTCTGTGTGGAACTGGGCACCTCATCCCCCTGTTCTGGGCCTGGTTCCCCTGATCGGAACAATGGCATCCTAGCAGCTTCCTGCTGGGTTTCCTCAGTTGTGCTCATCAGGTAAAGTCTTCCACGAGGGCCCAGCACTACCTCAGCATCCAGAGTGAGCTGTGGCTTGAGAGATGGCAGGACAATCGCTCACCGTGAACTGAGTCCAGCATCGTGTGTTCTCTGTGCCTAGAAGCCCTACGTGCCCAGGAGACCCTGCTTATCTCCGTGACTCTGCAAGACTCACAGAGAGGACCAACCCCAGAGCTCCTTTGATCCCCCAGACTGTCGTCTTGGTTCCACTGAGTTCCACAAAACCAACTTCATACTGAAAGTCAGATTTAAAAACATGTTTTAGCTAAAACAATTGACCCAAGAGATTTCTGAGTAGGGAAAGGCCCTTCTCAAGCAAGCCCCATGGCCTGTGTTAAATCTCCAGGATCCATGGGGTGAAAGGAAACCAACATGGACAGTTTTCCTCTGAGCACATGTGCGACGTGACACACGTACCCATGCACGGAAACAAACAGTTGTCGTTGTCTTACAATGTACTTAATGGTTTTTAGAATTCCAGTGTCCTTTGTAAACTGCTGTGTAGGAGATCCCCTTTAAAATAATAAGGGAGTGCGGTGGCCTGGAAATAATGTTTCTGTGTGATGCAGTGTGAATGTCCAGGAGCAAAATAAGCCACACTCACCTAAGTCCTTCCCAAAGCCGGACTGCTTCACTCCGCCGAAAGGGGCGGCCACGTCTGTCTTGTTGTAGGTGTTGATGAAAACCGTTCCCGCCTCTAGCTTGTCACTCACGTACATGGCCTTGTTGATGTCTCTGGTGAAAACCCCAGAGGCCAAACCATATTCGGTGTTATTTGCTCGGCGCAGAACTCCATCGATGTCCCTGTGAGATGTTTCCAGAAGCAGAAAACACCATTAAATGTGCAGGGAGAGTATTCCACTCTCCACACAGGTCAGGGAGTATCTCTTCCCATTTCACTAGCATCATCTTTTTTAGTCTGCAGGGATCATGTGTGTGCTTCCTCTGCCATTTTTCGGAGCCTTTTTTCTTGTGTTCACCCCTCTTCAGAACTGTCCAGCCTCAAAGCTCTCCTGTCTTCCCCAAACGCAGCTACTCTGTCTCCTTAGCTTTTGAGACAGGGTCTCTCATTAAACCTGTAGCTCACCAGTCAGGCTGGATTGGCTTGTGGGATGACGTTCCTCTCTCTGCTCAGTTCTGAGTTTGCATCTGCCATGGTGCCACACCTCCCTCGTAAGTGGGTGCTAGGATCTGCACTCCGGCCCTCCCCTTTGCCCAGGAAGCCCTTCATCCAGTGAGCTATTTCCCAGCCCTTAGGTGCTTCTAACTTATTAACCCGTTGGTTTACTCTTAGGGTGGAGAATTGCACGTCCATTGATTGCATGCTCTAGGGACAGCACCAGGCAGAGGAGTCATCTCGCTGAAACCCATGTTACACAGTATGCGTAGGGAACACACCCGTTTGGAAACTTAGAAATGACCATGATAGGCCCGAAGGATTCCTCTTTGGCCAGGTACATGTGGTCCTCGACGTCTGTGAACACAGTTGGTTCCATGAAGAAGCCTGGGAGGAAGAATAGAAGCATCAGCCACAGACGATGTTGTTTTCATCCCCAGTTTACTGAGGTAGTCCAGCCCCCACCCCAGGCTTATCTAAAGGAGAAGAGAACCGTCTTCTGTGTAGCAGGGGCCTTTCTGGATGCTCATTTTTTTACATGACTATTGTGGAAAGCTTAAGGATGTAAAAGAGTATGTATTTAATATATATTCATAGTTCAGCACCTTTGAGTTGTTTTTCCCCACTGGCGTGTTTTGAACCTCCATCCTGCCTCAGGTTCTCAAGTGCTGGAGTTAATGTGTATGCCGCCCTACCTGGCTGTACCATTGAATATCTTAGAATTTTTAATTTGCCATTGCTTTGTTAGGTGATATTTGTTTTTCTATATCGTATATTCCTTTAAAAAAAAAAAAAAACTGGGGCCTGGTGAGATGGCTCAGTGGTGAAGAGCACTTGCTCTTCCAGAAGACCCGGGTTTGATTCCCAGCCCCACGTGGCAACTCACAGGCACCTGGAACTGCAGTCCCTGGAGATCGAGACCCTCTCTTGACTGTCACAGACCCCAAGCAAGCATGTGATACACAGAACCACATACAGGATCAACACACGTACACATAACCAAGCATGTGATACACAGGTCCACATACAGGCTCAACACACACATAACCAAGCGAGCATGTGATACACAGACCCACATACAGGTTCAACACACATACATATAAAAACAGTAAGTTTTTTAAAAAATAATTATATGTTCGCCTGCATGCGTGCCCACTGTGCTCTCGCTCGGTGCCCACGGAGACAAGAAGTCCTCTGGAACTGGAGTCACAGCTGTGAGCTCCCATGTAGGTGCTGGGAATCAACCCAGGTCTTCTGCAGGAGCAGCAGTGATGTAGATGCCTTATCCCTCTCCAGCTCCCAGTTCCTTGGTCTAAGGACTCCAGTCTCCATGGACCACCATTTTCTCCCTGAATCAGTGATTTTCATCTAGAGAATTGCAGAGCAGTGATTTTTCTACTCTGTCTTTTTTTTCCTTCTCCCAAGACGAGGTTTTTTTCTATGTAGCCCTGACTGTCCTAGAACTCACTCTGTTGACCAGGCTGGCCTACCACTCAGAGATCTGACTGCCTCTGCCTGCCTAGTGCTAGGATTAAAGGCATGTGCCACCACCACCCGGCTTTTTTATTCTTTTGATTTACATCAGTTCTTTTCTGGAAATGTCCCTGTACCACCTATTCAGGCTCCTGGAAACTCAGCTCATCCAGGGAACACAGGATAAATACTTTGATTTTCCTTGCTTTCGCCATTATTTAAAATAAAGAGCCTGTGTACAGTAACCGTCCAAACAGTACTTGTCTGGTTTTGAAGATCAACATATCAAGCCCCGTCTTGACAGCAGGTGAAACCTGCATGCACACACTGCACCTACACGCATATGCACCCATGTGCACAAACACGTACACACACACATGTAAATACATACGCTGCACAGAAACATATTCACACACATAAGCACACACACACACACTGCACCTACACGCATATGCACCCATGTGCACAAACACATGTACACACACACATGTATATCCATACGCTGCACATATACACACACATAGGCACACACATGCCGCACCTACACGCATATGCACCCATATGCACACACACATACACATGTATATACATACACTGCACATATACATATTCACCCATATAGGCACACATGGATGTGCACACACACATACACACACTGCACATACACACACATACATACACACACTGGCGCATATGCCACACCTGTATCCATAAGCATACATGCACACACGTGTGTGCACACACACACATGCACACACTGCACATATACACATATAAGCACACATGCACACACGTGTGCGCGCACACACGTGTGCGCGCACACACACATGCACACACTGCACATATACACATATAAGCATACATGCACACACGTGTGCGCGCACACACACATGCACACACTGCACATATACACATATAAGCACACATGCACACGTGTGTGTGCACACAGACACACCACTCTTCTGCAGGGGAGGCACTGAAGCATAGTTCATTACCATCCATTCTGGGTTTTGGGGGTGGGGCAGGCACCAGGCACTTCCCCAGAGACATTCTTACCTGACCGCTGCACCTGTCGTCCTCCGTATACCAGGGTGGCCCCTTCCTTCACCCCAGTTTCACAGTACTGCAGCAGCTTTTCTAGATGGGCTTTGTGGTTTTGGGGCCCGTGGTCTGTAGATCTGTCCAGCGGATCACCAATCTTCATCTTCTTGATCTCTTCCACCTGTATTTTACCCAATCCACAAAACACCATCGCCATTAGTAGTAGCAGTGTTATCAGTAACGTGTTCTATGTGTATATTTGTGTCGTGGTGTCATGAGCGATTGACAGATGTGTGGTTGGCTCTTTCCAGCTGCACTGGAAGCAAGTCTTCAATGTTTCCATGTTACAGAAGGAGAAACCGAGGCCCCGAAGGGGTTAAATGGGTTTGTCCTCTCACACACAGACACTTTTCACTGTGACTTTAAAGGTCAAGTCCCCAAGTACTATATTCTCACAATACAAGCCCGGTGCTGTGTATCCAAGTCCTGAAGGTTAACTCATGAAGAGCAAAGTGACATTCTGGAGTTTTCCTTAACGTCTTAGACTCTTTTTTAAAAAAAAATATTTATTTTTTTTATTTATTATGTATACAATATTCTGTCTGCGTATATGCCTGCAGGTCAGAAGAGGGCACCAGACCTTATTACAGAAGGTTGTGAGCCACAACGTGGTTGCTGGGAATTGAACTCAGGACCTTTGGAAGAGCAGGCAATGCTCTTAACCGCTGAGCCATCTCTCCAGCCCCAACGTCTTAGACTCTTGATGGGAAAAAAATTTCTAGTGTTGTTTCTTCTTTAAGTGTGGTAGAGCGCCCTTGTGAGATTCTCATGAGATTGCCAGGTTGGAATAATTGCTGGAATTTTTTTGTTGTTGTTTTGGGTTTTTTTGTTTTGTTTTGTTTTTGTGTTTTGTTTTTTTGAGACAGACCCCATGTAGCCCAGGCTGTCTTAGAATCCCCTGTGTAACCAGGGCCGACCTGACCCGTAACCGGGATGGAATGTTCTGGTGAGAAGTGTCACACTACTCCCTGGCACACCTGTGTGTGCTGCTTCTCATCCTGGTCGTCCTCTGTGTCGTTTTCTGGCTGTAACTCCAGCTCAATGAGGAGAAAGGACGGAAGCCCCCGTGGCCCCATCAGTTTGAATATAGATCTGCTACTGATCTCTTGGTGTCTTGCAAACCCTGTGCTGGAGAGATACTCTGCATGATGATGACCCTGGCTGCCTGCCTGTTCTGTATTGTCAACGCCCAGAAGATGGTGACCCTGGCTGCCTGCCTGTTCTGTATTGTCAATGCCCAGCAAATGACATTGCTGGGTGCTCAGCACTTAGCTGTTGAGGGGCTGGAGAGATGGATCAGAGGATAGGAATGCATATTGTCTTTTCAAAAGACTTGTTTGGTTTTTAGTATTTACATCAGGTGTTCACAACCACCTCTGACCTACAGGGTGCACGCATGCACACGCACACACAGTTGCAAATAAATCTCATCTAGTTGTGGTGGTGTGTGTCTTTAATCCCAGCATTTTGGACTCAGAAGCAGGAAGATCTCTTGAGTTTGAGGGCAGCCTGGTCTACCTAGCAAGCTTCCAGTTATGCAAGTTGCACAGTGAAAGCCTGCTCATCCAAGTCTTAAAAAAGGAAACAGGATAAATGAATACAAAAATTGCCCATTTAGAAAACAGGCCTGTGCTGGACCAATACAGCAAGTGCTTGACATTTCTGGTCTCTGCTTTGGAAATGTCTCATGTGTCAGATCCTATGAGCCTCTCTATGTCTATACTGCCGACTGGATTCTAATGAGACACAAAGTAAAGTACTCTGTAAGCCTGAGAAGTCAATGACTACTGCCTGCTGATTCCCCACGACCTGCCTTTGAAAAACTGCCTTTGAAAAATCAGATCAAAGCTTTTTAACCCACGAAAGAGCAAAGGCCCAGTGCTTTAGAATCGGGAGGACGGACGGAACCGAAGCAGGAGAACTGCAAGTCCAAGGCCTGCTGGGGTAACGTGGTGAGCCCCTTCTCCCCGACCTCAGGGGTTACCTGCTGAGAACGGAAATTAAACGAACATTGGCACTGGGCAGTTTTAAACAAGAGTAGAAGTCAGTCTGTTGCTAGCTCCGCAGGACGGATGCAATCAGCTTAGGACTCGGTGATTGGCAACCTCAGCTCCCACGGAGGAGGGCACAGTTAACACTCAGGGAAGCTGGGCTGGTGCCTTCAGGTCACGGTATCTTTGTAGCGGGACACAGCTCTAGGACAAAGAAGGCTAAAGCTCCCTGGCCTCTAACCTTGCACTGTAACTTAAGAGTCAAGTACGTGTCTGCTAGGTCTGTGGTTTCAACACGATTCATTGTAAACATCCTATATTCTTTCCTAAGTAATTTTAGAGTGTGAGCTTGTATCTATGTCTGTGTCAAATTATTTATTCTACAAAAAGCAGCACAAATACCGTTCACTGTGGTTCCAGCACAAATTCCTTAAAAAGTACATTAAGGCCATGTATGGAGTCAGGGTGAACCGCAGACGACCCTGGCGTAAGTCACACGACTGATGAAGAGCTTTGGGGACGGGAGGGGCAGCAGTGGCTGCCTTGTGTTCTCCTCCTGGGTGGCCCTGCATCAGCTTCGAGGACCCGTTAGTCCCCCACGTCGCCATCGCGGTCTCCAATAAGCCAGAGAAAATGGAAACTTAAGGCCAGCAGAGCTGTCCCGAGCAGGTCACCCAGCGCCGTCAGGTAGGGGATGGAGAAACTGTCTGGGTCCTTCCCTTTCCTCCAGAAGCGATGGACCATCCAGTCTGCGATCCACAGCAGGGTGAACACCTGTAAGAGAGAACCAGGCATGACCACTGTCAGCTGCATCTCCCTGCCCTGAACACGGCCAAGGGTCTGAGCTGCTTGTTTCTGGGAGGAGCAGCATATGTCCGGGTCAAGAAGCACGCTTGAGAAGAGGCAGCTAGTTAACAGGACTGTAATCCTTTCCTAACAAGAGAAGCCTAGACTCCAGATGCTGGAGCAGCCCACTTGTCACAGGCAACGTCTCGCCTCCATCCAGCTGTGGTCCGTGGTGTTTTCTTCTCTGCCTTGGGTTTCAAATGGCCAAGGACGGCCATTCTAGCTCTGGCCCCTTTACCAGGACGGAGCGTGGCTTGTCCAAATCTGAGAGACAGGTGCCAAAGGTAAGATCCCCAGGGGTAAGTGCCAGAGATGGCACCTCCGGGCCCTGGCACCCCTGCGTGAGGCTTACTTTCCTTACTGCTCCACTGGCCAAGGTTGCCTGGCAACCACATAAAGCTAATTCAGACACTGTTTTGAGTGTGTAGGGAGCAGAGAATATTAGAGTCTTGAACTTAATGTACTGTAAGATTTGGAATTTGGTTTGTAATTTCAGCCCTTGAGAGACAAAGAAGGATTGCTGTGAGTTCACAGGTCACAGAGTGAGTTCAAGGCCTGATTTATGGTACATAACGAAACTCTCTGAAAACCATTGGATTTGAATCTCAATTTATTCTTCTGGCCGATTCCTTATTAATCTGAGTCTCTATTGATTTGAGAAAACAAAACAAGCCTCAAAGCAGAAAGGTACAAGGATCCCAGGCCAGTTGCCAGAGCCAGCGGTTTGCAGTCCTGCCTCAGAGTGCTACAAGCTTTAGACCCAGTAGCAGGATCTGGTTGGTCTTGAAGCAACGCCTCTGCTCCAAAAAGGCACTCACCTTGCACCTCCTCCAAACCCAGAAAATACACTGCAGCACAGAACGAGATGCTATAGAGAGCTACAGCTCTGCCTGACTCCTCAAGTCTTCCATGAACGCTAGCGCTGTCAGTTCAGAATCTGTGGCTTTTATTGTAAAGGTAATTTGGAACACACGTGTGAGCACCCCCACACACTGGCTCCTAACACCAGTGACCGCTGTGACATTTCACCTCCAAGCCTCTCTAAAATGCGTGGTCTTGCCTTTGCTGTGTGTCCCAGCTGTGAACCACAGAGGAAGGAGCCTGCTGTCCCACGTGGTCACGCACAGCAGTCTTTGCGCCCCCTCTTTGCTCTCTCCCCCACATTCTCCTTCCATTTCCTCTGCACCACAGGCCACAGAATCAAACCAGCTTCTAGCATGGTGTCTTTTTAAAAGCGTTCTCACAATGTTCAAACAGGTTTCCGTTTTTAAAATTCTTTTCTTAAGGTTATCAAGACATATTAGTGTTTTCTTGGACCTCTGGGTGTAAATTATGAGGATCATGGTATCAGAGTCTTCTTATTGCAACGTGTTTTGCCTCAAAGTTAAATTACTGATCAAGACACAGACGCTTTCCACACCAGACGCCAAAGCAAGGGTTCACTGTGTCCTAACATCATCGGCTCTCTATGAAATATGCATAACTTCTCTGGGTAAATATGCCTCCTCAGAAGGCAACTTTGTAGCCCTGGTTAATTATGCAAGTTATAAACGTACTGTCTGGAATTTAAAGAAATACGCAAGCACAAGAATATCTATTTGCTTTGGGTGCTATTGACTTTCTAGGCGGGCTGCTCCTCTGGGCCAGACCAACATTCGCATGCATTAGCGTCTCTTTAGTGCTGTGCCTGCCAAGAGCAGCCTTGTGTGTTGTGTGAGGAAGGATGACTGCATTGGCGGAGGGACGTTTAGGAACATGACACAAATAAACCTCAGGAATAGAAATGAGCACAGTCCTTCCTAACCAGGCTCTGCAAAGGTTGAATCCATGTCCGTATAAGACAGCCTCCTCTAGTCCGGTCTCCAGGATGGAAAACGCTGCTGAGATCTAGTATTTAAATGTCTGGGGTAATTCAAGGTTATCGGTCAGCGGGAATTCGGTCTACTTCTGATCTTCAGATAAAACGTCATTCTGATCTGGCTGTTTTTGTGGGGTTTGGGGGTGAGCAGTGCTAACATTCGGCATCCTTTGCTCCTAAGGACGACAGTGAGAACTGTTATCAGAGACTTCTCTAGAGGGGAAACCTGAATGGAGAAAAGGTTGAAGGGGCTTGTCTGGTCAGACACCGATTGAGAATGAGGTCCAGCTGAGGCCGTGAGACTCCAAAGGCTACACTGTTCTCCCATCCCACCCCGGCTCTGCTGAACAGAGCCTGGGGGTGACTGGGAAAAGAGAAGTTTCTCTCTGTGGATTAGTACACGACACAACCGGACCCAAGCCTCAGAGAGATGTCCCCTCCCAAACAAGGGACGGGAGCTTAACATTTTAGCCACACTGCAAACACCTCAACCATGAAGACCAACTGCAGATGCTCAGCAAATTTTGGAAGGCGGTGTCTTTTTAAAGGCATCACTGAGCAGGCAAAAATCCTCAGAGGCCTCAGAGGGAGAGGGCCACAGGCATGCTGAGGTGCCTGGCCTTAAGCAGCCTTGAGCAGGATGCTTCACTGGGCACAAACCACACCTAGGCATCGGTGCTCTCGGCCTCTCCAGCAGCCTGAGGAGCCTTCTAGGTTTTTGTTTTTGGTTTCTGTGGAGGGAAGGGTCTTTTCAGCGCACACTTCCATATCAGTGTTCATGGCTGACTGAAGTCAGGACAGGAACTCAAAGGGCAGGAACTGGGGGCAGGAGCTGATGCAGAGGCCATGGGGGGGAGGCTCTCACTGGCTTGCTCCCCATGGCTTATCACTTATGCTCGGTCTTCTCTTTATTTAATTTTTTGAGCAGCACGGGGCACAGGGAACAGAAGGTAAAGGTAAAGTCTTTCCCAGGTGGGTCATCTAACAGAAGATTCGAAGACTAAAACTCACTCCCTCCATAAGAAGTAAACCTGTCCTCAAAGACGGACATTTGTCTGACTACATGGAGAGAAAAAAAAATCATCCCTAAGAAAAAAATCCATAACCACAAACGGTCGTTCAAGGAACTGAATGAGCCACGTGCCCTGAACATCTGGGCTGGATATTTTAACAGGGCCTCAGATTGACAGTGCCCTAAGGCTACTGGAAAAAAAACAAATCTTTTCTGAAGGTCTGGAGAGATGACCTCAGCGTTTGTTAAAGCACTTGCCACGCAGGTGTGAGGACCTGAGTTCAGATCCCCAGAACCCTCGCAAAGCCAGCTACAAACCCTTTGCTCCTACAGACAGCCAGGAGACAGGGACAGGGCGGTCCCTGGAGCGCTACTTCGGCATATGCTGTGGCAAACACGAGAGGACCTTCTGACCCCCATGTGCAACACGGTACACGTGCATCTGTGTTCACACACATACAGCCATGGGCCTTCCATACTGAGTTCGCTCTCGAAGGAAGGAGAGGACTCTTGCAAGTAAGTACTCCTTTGATCTACACACACATACACAGACACACACACACATGCAAATAAGTATAATTTATAAAATTTTAAAAGGCATATGTAGAATAAACGGTGAAAGATCGAAGCTGGGCTGGATCGTGACTTCTGGTATCTGCAGGCGACCCTGACCCTGCTATGCTACAGTCCTTAGCTTCTAAGAAGAGGCAAGCCTACTGCGCTGACCCAGGCTAACACTCCCCAGCGGCTTGACGGACGTGCCCCATTGGGTAATGGCAGGCAGTGCCGAGACACGAAGCCATCTAGCCTCAGGAACAGCTCAACACTTTGAAGATGTCAACAACAACACAAATGGCCCCCTACTTTTGCAAACATAGTTAATAAGACAGCCCTGGGCCCCCGAGGTCATGATTTCATTTCCTTACCTCAAATAATTACAGCAAATAAATAATAATTAAAGATAGTAAAGGGGGGCTGGAGTGATGGCTCAGCAGTTAAGAACACTGGCTGCTCTTCCAGAGGACCCAGGTTCAATTCCCTGCACCCACACGGCAGCTCACAACTGTGTGTAAATCCACTTCTAGGGGACCTGGCACCCTCACCCAGACATGGAGGCAAAACATCAAAGCACATAAAATAAAAATCTTTTTTAAATAAAATGTTTAGTAAATTATCTCAGAAAAATGACTTCTGCTCACAGGCTAGCACAGCGCACAGACGCGGACACAAGCAGCCATGATCCCTGAGAGCAGGGGAGAGCCATACCCAGGAGCTGCTCTAGAAACCGCAGGTCAGGCCAGATTTCTGTGCTTCCCTCAGGGCTGAGGAGAGCAGTCAACGCTACGATGACCAGCTCTTGAGCAATACACGCGCACAACAGCGAAAGCACTGGGAATAAATGCCGCATCTACTAACGGGGAAACCTGAGTCCCCAGGCCAACAGCCTGAGAACGCCACACACAAGCAGTTAGTGTCAGGCCACAAGCCCTTCAACTGTGCGTGGATTCATTGCTCTCGGGACTTAAGAGACATCCCTTCATCGATTCAAATGAAGATTTACTGAATAAATAAAAAATAAGAACTTGATAGTGGCGTGGTAAAATTGGAGGATGAGAAAGCATTGTGGTGACTGTTTGAGACCATGACCCAGCCGCCCTTCCTGGGCTTCCCCTCAGCCCACCACCTCGGATTGCGTGTATACACGCCTTTCCTCTCCTGGCACGGTTCCGTCCTCTCTCACTATGTGTATGAACTCAGCAATCTAGGATCCCACATTGTGCTACTCTCTTGTAGAGAATATCTGAGCACACTTACTAAATACGGTGCTAATGTTTATTATCAAGCAATTATAAAGATAATAAAATATACTTTAAACACATCCAGCAGACAGAAGCTTTAATTTTTATTTCTATAAACACTGATGGATCTGCACTTTGAAAGCCACTGCTTCCCAGCACAGACCGGATCTCCCAGAACACGGGCAGTCCTGGGAAAGCAGGGTAGCACACAGCAGACTCTCCAGAGGCCAGAGGCTTCTTCTGCCTTCACTCCCCATCCACCTTCCCCAGCCCCACCCCTCCAGTTCCCTGAAGGCCAAACTCAAACTCCACCCCAGGCCTTATTTTAATCTACTCCTGAAGGAGGCACCAAGTCTGTGAAGTTAAACCAGAAGCCAGAGGGGGAGAGGTTGGGCAGCAGGAAACACTAAGGCTGGGATTATGGGGAGAGACCCAAGTTAAAAAAAGAATTATTAATGCCAAGGAAATACAGCCAGAGCAAAGCCATCTGCCTTACAATAAAAACATTAAAATAGTCTTAGTTATTTACTGAAAATTCATATTCTTAAAATATATAGGAAATATGCCGGGCTTGGTGGCACACGCCTTTAATCCCAGCACTCGGGAGGCAGAGGCAGGCGGATCTCTGTGAGTTCAAGGCCAGCCTGGTCTACAAGAGCTAGTTCCAGGACAGGAATCAAAAGCTACGGAGAAACCCTGTCTCGAAAAATCTATATATGAAATATGATTATAATGGCCCTAAAGCCCTGACTTATAAACTTGAAGTTTAGGCATGTTACTTTAAAACATACAAATAATGGCAGAAAAAGTAGCTAAAATATTTCAAAGTGATGGTCTGAGAAGTAGATCTAAGGAAGTAGAACCTTTCGATGCTATTTAATTTTTAAAATGTGTATATTTATTATAGCAGCATACCTTTAAATGTTGTTCATTGGCATATATTAATTATACATACTAATGGGTTACATTATATTTTCATACATAGACATAATGTGTTTTCATAGTCACAGACATCCCATCCACTTCCTCTCTCGCCCTGTCCCACTTCTCCAATCTCCTTCCATTTTCAGTCAGCACCCCTTCTGTGTATGTGTGAGTGTGAGTGTGAATGTGTGCATATGCAAGTGTGTATATGTGTGCATTCATGATAGCGTGAGTGCAGTGTGTATATGTGTGTGTGCATGATAGCATGAGTGCAGGTGTGTATATGTGTGCATGATAGCGTGAGTGCAGGTGTGTATATGAGTGCATGATAGCGTGAGTGCAGGTGTGTATCTGTGTGCGTGCATGATAGCGTGAGTGCAGGTGTGTATCTGTGTGCATGATTGCTTGAGTGCAGGTGTGTATCTGTGTGCATGATAGCGTGAGTGCAGGTGTGTATCTGTGTGCATGATAGCGTGAGTGCAGGTGTGTATCTGTGTGCGTGCATGATAGCATGAGTGCAGGTGTGTATCTGTGTGCATGATAGCGTGAGTGCAGGTGTGTATATGTGTGCATGATAGCGTGAGTGCAGGTGTGTATCTGTGTGCATGATTGCTTGAGTGCAGGTGTGTATCTGTGTGCGTGCATGATAGCATGAGTGCAGGTGTGTATCTGTGTGCGTGCATGATTGCGTGAGTGCAGGTGTGTATCTGTGTGCATGATAGCATGAGTGCAGGTGTGTATCTGTGTGCGTGCATGATAGCATGAGTGCAGGTGTGTATCTGTGTGCATGATAGCATGAGTGCAGGTGTATATCTGCATAATAGCATGAGTGCAGGTGTGTATCTGCATGATAGCATGAGTGCAGGTGTGTATCTGTGTGCATGATAGCGTGAGTGCAGGTGTGTATCTGCATGATAGCATGAGTGCAGGTGTGTATCTGTGTGCGTGCATGATAGCATGAGTGCAGGTGTGTATCTGCATGATAGCATGAGTGCAGGTGTGTATATGTGTGCATGATAGCGTGAGTGCAGGTGTGTATATGAGTGCATGATAGCGTGAGTGCAGGTGTGAGTGTGAATGTGCGCATGTGCAAGAGTGCGCAAGCATGTGTTTGCACGAGAGCGTGTGTGTATTTGTGTGTGTGCGTGTGTGTCAATGTTTCTGCGAGAACTAACGTGCTTCATCAGAGTTGTTTACAAAAGCATGAGTAAGGGGTTTGTTTACATAAAAGAAAATTTCTAAAATTAAGTCTTCTACACAACACAGAAAGAGGAGTAGAAATCTAAAAAGGAAATAGGTAACAAAACAGAATTTTTAAGTTTGAAGGAAGCCGGGTAACCATGAAGACCATGAAGTGTCAGACATAGTGAAAACTATGTGACCCCATACGCACAGACATAATGTAGTGAACATTACATGACCCTGTACACAAAGACTTAGTGAACACCACCGTGACCCCGTATGCACAAACATGCTGAACACCACCATGACCCCGTATGCACAGGCAGAGCTCAGCGGATCACTGTTTGAGGCCATTCTAACTATGCCGTGTGCTGTAGAAGTTCTGAGATTCTAACTACACTGTGTGCTGTAGAAGTTCTGAGATTCTAACTACACTGTGTGCTGTAGAAGTTCTGAGATTCTAACTACGCTCTGCGCTGTAGAAGTTCTGAGATTTTAACTACGCCATGCACTGTAGAAGTCCATCACCACAGGTTCCCAGCCATCCGAGCCTAAGATTTGAGGAGGTTTGTCCCTCTTACCTGTAGCACAGCAGCAAGGAGATACACAACAACGAAGACGACAGTCAGAGAGGTGTGGCCGCTCTTCATCAGGTGAATCGTGTACAGGAAAATCAAGTGGCCAGGAACCACCAGGAGCAGAAGAACTTGGGCAGACTTATTGTTCACACCTACATGAGAATCGCAGACAGCATTAAAGATTGCACTGAAGGTCACTGCTGGGATGCGGCTCAGCAGGTTGCTGGTCTAGCACTCACAAGGTTCAAGCCCCAGTGCTGGTGGAAAAATAAAGTGATTCTAGAAACTGTGCCTGGTAATCCAAGTCAGAGGACAAGCCTGGGTGTCTGTGACCCAAATACCTACGGAAGCTGAGGCACCCGCACCTTGAGTTCAAGCCCCCCACACCCGGGCCCCCGCCAGACTGTGAGACCCTATTTCAGAAAGCCAAAACAACAAATTGAAAGTTACGTTCTCATTACTATAGCTCACAGTATATTACAGCAATTCAACTGCTAAGAATAAATCTCATTTACAATTCACATAATTCTTGGGAATTCCACTATTAGATGCAATTATAAAATCAAATAAAAAAGCAGCTGTTTAAAAACTTATTTTGAGCCAGGCATGGTGGCGCATACCTTTAATCCCAGCACTTGGCGAGGTAGAGGCAGGCGGACCTCTGAGTTTGGGGCCAGCCTGGACTACAGAGTGAGTTCCAGGACAACCAGGGCTACACAGAGAAACAAAACAAACCTTGCTTGTGTCTACCATGGAAACAGAAGGAGAATGGGACGCTAAAGGCAGGCCGTCTTTAACTGTCCCATCACTGATAACGCAAGGCCGAGCCCGAGATGCTCAGTGGTTAGGGGCACAGCTGCTCTTCCAGAGGACCTGATGTCCTCTGCGGCCTCTGAGAGCACCGGGCACACCAGTGGGGCACCCACACACGTGAGAGAATGACCGCAGCTTTCTGGCAGTCACATCTGTTCATATAAACTGTGTATTGTTCCCCGTCATTGGGTTGCCTCCTAATGTCCTGTTTCAGAGCAAATACCCACATTTTAAAGGGTCAAAAAGCAACAACACAGAAAGGAAAGTCGATCTGTCTGTCCTAAGTCACAAGTTGTATGGTTCTCCTCTCTCTCTCTCTCTCTCTCTCTCTCTCTCTCCTTTCCTTCCTTTTTGTTTTCTGTTTTGTTTTGTTTTTACGAGACAGGGTTTCTCTGTCTATCTCTGGCTGTCCTGGAACTCGCTCTGTAGACCAGGCTGGCCTCAAATCAGGGATCAGCCTGTCTCTGCCTCCCGAGTGCTGGAGAGACGGCTCAGCTGTTAAAGGTTGGGCCCAACCAAAAATAGAAGAGTACGGTTCCTTTTTCTTAACCAACAGAGACAGGAATAAAGCGTGCAAAGGCCCCAGCTACACGCAAGCACGCACGCATGCACAGGCTTGGGGAGGCAGAAGGCCTCTGTCTCCTGAGTTAGCTCAGCACAACATTCACAGAGCCATCAACTCAGCAAATGCTGCCCCCAGATCTCAGCCGGAAGCAGTTCCTGACAAAAGCCCACACAAACCACCCGACACTTACCTGAGCCAAAGAACGTCCTAAATGGGTAGGAACACCCTGTGGGCTCTTCGGGCAGCTCTCCGGGGATGCTGTGTAAATGGAGGTAGGTAGAAATCCTGCTGGCCTGAATGGCCACCAAATTGCCACCGATACCTGAGACATTGAGAAAAACAACCAGGTGACCTTCCTCCTCATCAGTCCCACCATAGCAAGCCTTCTCCAGTCATGTTCTTGCCGATGAAACAAAACTTTTCCTGAGGTGTTGGTTTCTTTTCAGATAGATAAACCGAAAATCATAATAAAAAAAAAATCACCCTCATTATTTTCAAATCTGATTAGCTGTCGGAGGTGGAAGAACAGCCGAATGGGTAATTTATAAAAATCATTCTTGCAATCACTTCACAGAACTAGGTAACAAAATATTCATGTTTGTCACCTTAATGAGAGAAGAAATAAGCTGGATTTATTCAAATTGGCAGGCTTGCTACTTTCTCAGCTCACTAAAGAAAACAAATGAGGAGCTGAATAAGATAACTCGGGGAAGCCCCACATTCAACCTAGAAGCGGCCTCCCCGCGACTCAGAGGCGGTAGAGTTGAGGTGAGATGGGACCCTCAAATCCTTTCTTCACTCACAGTCAGTGAGGAAGAGAAAACACCCTGCACGTGGGCCGGCACAGCCATAGAAGCTGATGTCCTAGACACAGGGGCTCCAGGTTCGCGAGCTAGTGACCCTCAAAGGTTTTCAAAAGGTGTTTCATAGGCACAGCGAAGGAGGAGATGAGGGAAGAGAACCCAAGCCTACACCAGCAGGAGGGGGACCAGCAGCGTGCTGAGGAGATGAGGGAAGAGAACCCTAGCCTACACCAGCAGGAGGGAGACCAGCAGCGTGCTGAGGAAATGAGGGAAGAGAACCCTAGCCTACACCAGCAGGAGGGGGACCAGCAGCGTGCTGAGGAGATGAGGGAAGAGAACCCTAGCCTACACCAGCAGGAGGGAGACCAGCAGCGTGCTGAGGAAATGAGGGAAGAGAACCCTAGCCTACACCAGCAGGAGGGGGACCAGTAGTGTGCTGAGGAGATGAGGGAAGAGAACCCTAGCCTACACCAGCAGGAGGGGGACCAGCAGCGTGCTGAGGAGATGAGGGAAGAGAACCCTAGCCTACACCAGCAGGAGGGAGACCAGCAGCGTGCTGAGGAAATGAGGGAAGAGAACCCAAGCCTACACCAGCAGGAGGGGGACCAGTAGCGTGCTGAGGAGATGAGGGAAGAGAACCCTAGCCTACACCAGCAGGAGGGGGACCAGTAGCGTGCTGCCACAAGAGAAGGGCAAGGCCCACTTCACGCCATCCACACTCAGCCACACCAAGAGCCCGCTGATGAAGAAAAGCGACACAAGAATACTGAGGACGCACAGTGCAAGCACTGCCCTAACCTCAAACAAACAAAGATCTGCTCATGTCTGGACACAAATAATATTTACCTGTTTCCAGTGGTCTTTTATATACAGTGTCAAGCATTTAATAAAATTTTACAAGTTAGGAATAAAAGGCAACAAAGAAAACAGCACATCGTGGGAGTTAGGACGTCAGCAACACCAGACCCAGAGATGCTATGGGTGTTGGGATAATAATTATCATTTGCCGTGGGAGGAGGCAGGGTCTCTGGCAGTTCAGACTGGCTTTGAGCCTGCCATGGCCTTGAACTCCTGCTACACCGCCCAAACGCTGGGCCGCTGAGCACAGGTCGCCACGCCCAGATCCAGGGACTGAAACCTTTTGACAGTGATTCTAAAACAGCTGTGGTTGGCGCATTAACGAATCCATGGGGGAACGTGTATATCACACAACAAAAGATGAAACACAGATGAATTAAAATATGAAAAATATATACCGGACACACATAATACTAAAGAAAACTGAAGAGGCAGGCTCAGTGTCCAAGGGAAGTGTAGTATTAGGGGCGGCGGGGCCTCGTCCCCAGCACCCCAGCCGCCCGCTCGGCTAGCTTATGCCCCGAAATAATTACACGGACACTGTATTCCTCCAAACACTGCCTGGCCCATTCTCTTCTAGGCTAATTCTCACATATTAATTTAGCCCATTCCTAATCATCTGTGTGTAGCACCCCAAGGTGCGCTTACCGGGGAGATTCTAGCCTAGTCCATCCGGGGTCCGAGCTTCATCACGTGTGTCTGCCAGGGAGCAGGGCATGGCGTCTCTGCTGAGGCGTCTGCTCCGGAGAGCAGAGCTGTCGAGACTCTCTGCTCACTTCCTCTTCCTCCCAGCATTTTGTTCTGTTTACTCCTCCCACCTATCCTCTAACCAATAAAATGGGCCAGGGCAGTGCCTTTATTAGCCAATGACCTTCCTCCATCAGGGAAGCACTGCAGCTGGAATATTCCTAAAAACACTGTGATGCTCAGCACCACCTGACCCACCTTCCAAAGCACCGGCAAGCTGGCTGCCCATGAACACAGAACACAGGCTACAGAGCACGTCTGAGTTTGGAAGGACTGAAACATGTGCATGCTGGAGCCGAGTGCTGCAGTCTGGAGACTGGGGTGCAGGGCTACTGGAGCCGAAATCAGCCTGGGAAGCACACGCCGGACCCATTTCAACCAATAATAAGACGGGAAAGGTTGCTGACACCAGGGTGTTACCACGTGACGCTGTGATACATGCTGTAACGTTTAACTGTATTTATCTTAAATGTTTATCATATTGACACCAAATACAAAATCAGAAACATTAGAGATGACTTATCCTAGCTTTGTGAAATACATGTTGTGTGCAGCCATCTCTGTACAACAGCGCACAGGGCTTCCTCCCACTCTAGCGGGACTTGGCGCCTTCCCCACCCGCTACTGCCGCTCTCCCCGGCTTCTGGGGACCACGATTCTACTCCGGTCAGATTCTAGGATGTTAACTGTCTCGGATTCTTCTGACTGGCATTCCACAAGCCCTGTCTTTCTGTAGTTTGCTTGTTTCCTTCAACACAATAATCTCATTTCATTTACTTCGTCACAAGTGACCCCACTCTGTTCTCCTCGGACCCTCAACAGTGCCCCATTGTTTGTTTCTAACGCATTTTCTTTATCCGTTCACCCACTGACACGCTTAGACTGCTTCCGTTCCTCAGCTGTTGTGAGGAGTGTTTCAATAAACAGGGAAGTGCGAATGTCTCCGACGTATTGATTTCACTCCCTTTGGAAATGTCCCCAGAAGCGGGACTGTTGTAGCGTTTGGTCACGTTACCGCTTTGAGAACCCTTCACACTGTTTTCCGGAGTGTGAACTACTTCACGCTCACACCGACAGAATACAAGGCTCTTCCCACAGCTTCACTGCTATTTTCTTTCGTCTCTCCGACAACAGCCACTCTTTCTGGATGGACATCCTGGGCCACTGTGGCTTTATGTATCTCTGACTGGTGCTGCTGGCCACGTGAACCTCTCTGAAGAAATGTCTATCTAGTTCCCGGGCTGGAACTGGGATGATAACATGAATTCATCGGGACTCCACCGGAACAGTCTTACACTGGTATATGATGGGATCACACTCCGCTGAACTCGTTACATTTCTTCTCCTTACACAGCAAGTGAACAACTACACAGGCTAAGGCTGCCGTTCACACTGGTCCTGTCACCACAGGAGGTCAGTCCTTGGCCGGAATGTCATTCTGCAGTATGTGAGTATTAGAGAGGGAGACTTCTGGGTACAAGGAGTAAAAAACATTCCCAGATGTTGGGAGTAGTGAGACCCCAGATCCTGAATTTCTTGTAAACAACTTGTTTTCCCCTGACCTGAGTGCCTACAGCTCCTCTGAGCACGAGACCTTCAGGAGTTCCTGATGGCAGGAGAGTGGTTTCTGGTGGGTTTGGCTGGGGCATGGCTATCTCTATATAATCTGCCCCTGAACACAATAAGGGAGGCATTCTTGGGGAATTCAAGGATGACCCATGTTGCTGTCTCTCTGGCTGTGTGTGTCTGTGTATTCTAAACCTTGCCCGAAACTCACGGACTGGGTAATAGCGCACAGAGCGCAGACACTGGGGCGCGGTGTGCGACACCCAGAGGGTTTCCGAACCAGGTGCTAAGGGCCAGCAGCTTTGATGAAGTCCTCTGCTGATCTGTCACTATGGGGGTTTGAATGGGGAATGGCCCCCCACAGAAGGATCAATGTTTGAATGATCACAGACCCATCCTCTGAGACTGTAGGCAAGTCCCAAGTTAAACACTTTTTTTTATGAGTTGTCCTGGTCATGGTGCTTAGTCACAGTGGCAGAAGTAACTAAGATCTGCACCCATGGAACCCCAGTGTCTCAGGACGGCAGGGCTGCTAAGATCTGCACCCACTGGAACCCCAGTGTCTCAGGATGGCAGGGCTGCTGAGATCTGCACCCACAGGAACCCCAGTGTCTCAGGACAGCAGGGCTGCTAAGATCTGCACCCACTGGAATCCCAGTGTCTCAGGACAGCAGGGCTCCTTGCTTTCTGATATGGCTGGGGCTGCTGCTGGAAGATGGACTCTCTTCTGGACAGTTGAGGAGATGACTTGGAGGAACCAGCAACAGGTGAGTTAATGCGCGTGGGGAAAGCTAATATTAGCAGCTTCCAGCTAAGCAGCGGGCCTGGGAATATATAAGATTACATTCACGCCGAGCTGTGGTGGCACAAGCCTTTAATCCCAGCACTTGGGAGGCAGAGGCAGGGGGATCTCTGTGAGTCTGAGGCTAGCCTGATATACAAAGCAAGTTCCAGGATAACCTGGGCTACACAGAGAAACTCTGTCTCAAACAAACAAAAAAGATGTTGTCTCAAAAACTAAAATACAGGTTGAGAGACTGTCTGGCATCTAGTGAAATCATGGTATTCAACACATTGTAGGCTAGCTGGCTACAATCTTCCAAGAATTCTCTTGTCTCTGCTATAGGAGAGCCAAGAACAAAGGTACACTCTATGGCACCCAGCTTTTACATGGGTTCAGGGGCAAGTCGAATCCAGGTGTTCGACAGGACACCCACTGAGCTCTGGCCCCGGCCCCTGCCTAAGGACTTGTCTGTCAGGAGCTTATAACAACTATGCTTTTAAGCCTGGAATTTCCTAGTCAGAGCTCACCTTTGACAGCGAGCAGCGGAAGTGGAGCACCCCGTAC